CGCGCCGCGCAAGCGCCCCCCCCACACACCCCAGCGCAGAGCCCCACAGTGATTCGCAGGGCACATCTCGGTCTGTCTCAGGAGGGGGGATTTATTATTGCCCCCCACCCTGAGCTCTTGGGCACAAGCAGCCTGGTGTAATGGTCTCCCCCTGTGCCCACCCCATGCCAGCCTTGCCAGCCCCCCTGGAGAAGAGCCCTGTGCCCCCCTTCGACACCTTCGAGTACTTCCAGGACAAGGAGGACGACCTGGACAAGCCCTACAACGACCGCTCCTACCTCAGCTCTGAAGGGCTGGCCCGTGACGACGCCCGCACAGGTGAGCCGCCCGCCCAGGCGGGCAGCAGCGGTGCGGGGCACCCCCCGCACTCCTCACCGTCATCGGCATCCCCTCCCCAGAGTTCGTGGCCTTGCTGACGAGCGGCCCGGAGCCGTGGCACCCCACATCCAGCGCAGTGGCCAAGGCTCGCTTCACCCTGTTGCGCTCCTACCTGCTCTTCTCCATCAGCTACGAGCGGTGAGTCCTACCCCCTGCCCTCTGCCCAGGCTGGCACAGTGGGCACCTCCCTGGAAAAAGGGGGGATGCAACAGTGCTTGTGCCTCAGTTTCCCTTCCGACGTCCCCCTGCGGTGCCACGGCCTTGCATTGGCAGGGCGAGAGATTTGGGGAGGGGGGCGATGTTCTAGGGGTCCGGCCTGGGCGAGCAGCCGGGATTTCGGCACGCCCATGGTGCTGGCCCGGCCTCACCCCTTCCCCTCCAGGTCTGGAGCGGGAACAAACGGGAGCGGCTCCAGGGCTCCGTGGAGGACATGGGCACAGCGGGGCAGAGGCACCGTCCTGCCCTGCGGATTCTGCCAGTGGGCACCACCAGGGCACTGCCACCAGGGTCCCCCATCGTCCCCGTGCCCTCCCCGGATGCCCGCCAGCGACGGAGCCTCTCCTCTCCTCTCCTCTCCCTCCCTCCTTCCCGCTCCAGTTTCTTCAGCTCTTCCTCGCTTCCAGGCCCCTTTGCATAGTAAAGTGGTGACTAATTTCCAGCTCCGACCGGGGGAGCCAAACAGAGCCGAAAATGCTCCTAATTTACAGCCAGGCCCGAGCGCTCCTGGCAGGTCCTGCCCTGCTGCCTTTCCCGGCGGGGACCCCCCCCTGCTCGGTGCCAGTTTGGCACCGCTCTGGGGCAGGGGAGCCCAGGGGACCCGTGCCGAGCTGGCACCCGGCGGGACGGCAGCGTTGGGCCAGCCCGGGTGTGGGCAGGCAGAGTGTGGTACTTGGCACCCCAGGGGGACGTCATCCTTCCCTTGCCCACCCCAAATCACTGGGTGACCCCTGTGTGCCCTCCCCAACGCACCCCTGTGCCCGGTGCTGAGCAAGGGTGGTGCCAGGGGAGGGGGGGCAGGGCGGGGGGGCATTGC